AACTGTATGGAATTGCCTGCGGTACAATCCGCGTCTCGGGATATTCGTCTTCAAATCGCTGGATCATCCTCTGCAAGGTGAAATCCAAGAACTGAAGACGCCCTAGTGAGAATAGAAGGTTAGTGCAGGTCGCGGAACGAAGGGAAGGAACAAATCTTACTGTAATTGTTGTCATTGCCAGCCCGGTCTTCACGTACTAGGGCCGACTGAATACGGGTCCGAATGTTGCGTGCAGACTCCAGTAGGTTTTTAGACATGTCCCGAGGCTTCCTAGTGACAAAGGACCGAGATTTCCGGTGTCGAGGCGTCGCTGTGCCACTGGGAGGCCCAGATTGGTCCCCTGGCAGAGAGCGGTCGAGATTACCAAGGCAGACACCCAATGCTTTGACGACACCGGTACCACCAATAACATAGTCTTCATCAGGCGCCGGCTCGTCGTCCTCTTCAACAGCTTCTTCTCCAGCACCATGACCAACGATATGCTGCAAGATCTCCGGAACATGCACGGTTGAGCGTGTAGCCGAAACGTCAAAAGAGTCCGACAGCTCGACCGCCATGGCACCTTGTTCAAGATTCTGAAGAGAGTAGGCAACGATCTGAGACGCCAGAGCCTTGACAACTTCATTGTTCTCCGCAGTTGGAACTTCAATGTCAACAGCAATAATGGTGCGAGACACGCGCACTGCTGCCATCAGCGACGCATAGACCGCGCATGCTTCCTCCTGGGTCGCAGGATCAGTTGCCGAGGCCAGGGCCGTAATCAAGGGATTCTCCAGGATGTTAAGATGGCATAGACTCGGGCACTCCGGCAGAACCTCGGCTAACGCGATAGTCTGATCAGGGGAGAGGTTCACATCAGCGAGATGAATCCGTTTGAGCGCAGGCATCTTGGGAAGGAAACGCCTAAAGGTTGGCAATGCGTCGGGCTTAGCAGTGAACAGGTCCGGATTGTGCGAGAAATCGACAAAACGAAGATCAGGCAAGCATGCCAGTTCTTGCAGCAAAGGATAGACCGCAGTTGGCGTGAGTGAACAATCGGCCAGGCTCAGCGCATAGAGCGGGTGGACTTCAGAGACAGCAGATGTGATCAAGTCAAGGTGATCCCGAATCGGATTACCGCCCAGATCAAGACCCTCGCATTTTCCGGCCTTTAAATAGCGCACAACATGTTCCAGGCTCTCCCGTGAAAGCCCGTTGTTGGCGAACCCAAGTCTCCTCAGCCCTACAGTGGTCGCCGCATCGCAGATCCGTTGAGTGTCCTCGATTGTCGGGTTACACTCACTAAGGAGAAGTTCCTCAAGGTGGTCCCCGCCGAACCGCTGTGCGAGCGCGTTGGCAAAGACAGCTGTCAACTCGGTGGAGGCTGTGGTGCAGTTCCCAGGCTGTACTGCCAACTTCCCGGAAGAAGTGATAGGGATAGGTACCCGGGGAAGTGGGATGCCAGAGAGATCAATGGCCTTCAAGGACTTCGAAAGGTGGACAAAAAGACAGATATGAAGCCATCCCTCCGTACCGATTGTAGGGTTGCCCTTCAGTGATAACTTTTCAATAACGCTAAACCTCTCTTCCTTATCCGCCGACGGGACCTCTGTTTTAGTGCCTCGTTTGCGTTTGCCCCACATATGCTCAACCGTCCGCGTGGAGAGCAACGCAGCAAGAATCGACCGAACCGGGTCATCCGTCAAGGCACACTCTTCCAGAATAAGCTTTCGAACTGGAACAACAGCCAGCCAGTCACAGAAAGTAGCTATATCCTCAGATGTCATGGGAAAATTGCTTAGGTCAAGCACAGCCACGGTGCCCGGAGACTCCGCTAGAGTAGAAGACGGCTTGGATATCTCATCCACTATCCTCTTCAGCACGGGCGTTTCACGTAACTGGCAACAGCGCCGATAGATTCGAACAGGATCCGTGGTCGGGTGACTTTGTGTCTTGGGACGACTTGTGCTAGACGCAGGTGTGCGAATGCCGTACTCCTCGCCGTCAGCCGTCAATTGCATAGGGATTGTGCCATTAGCTTCTGCCTGTCTCCGCCTCCTTTCTCTCCGCTCCCTGCGCTCCTCCTCTGATCTCTTTTTCTTCTCCTGTTTCCTGGTCGGTTCTTTGCTCTCCTTGTTGGGCGTCGATTCAGTGACGGCTGTGTCAGTCGAAACCGTGGGTTTTCCATTAACAGCCTGTTCCTGGGCATTTGCTTCCTTGACGGGCACTGCAGCTTGTGCGGATTTGGCCGGAGTAATCTCATTCTTGTCCTTTTTATCCTTCGATTTCGAATTCGACCTCTTGACTTTTGGGCCATTCGATTCCGGGACGATCTGATGCTTGCTATTGATCGCCGGAGCTTCCTCATCCGACTCTCGATAGGAGAGCCCCGCAATCTCCACGTCGACACAGAACGCAACGCGCCGCAACTTCGCTTGATTAAGATCGGCAACCTTGCATCTATCCCGATCTGGGTCGATGTTCATCACCCGACGCGGACAAATGGACCCGTTGGTGGCCAATTTGCCCGATCCACCGGCCGAGGAAGAGAGCTTCCGGAATGCGTTCGACAAGAACGAGGGGCCCTTTGGAGAGGTAGAGGCGAAAGGGCTATTCTCGTCCTTGCGCTCCTCCTCCTTATCCTTGGGCGAGTACGCCGCACCGAACGGGTTGTGCGTATCCATCTTGGAGACGGGGGAAGTCACCTTTGTGCTCGGCGGTGCCTTCATGCTCGATTGCGACGGAGGCGTCGAGCCCGAGGAGAACCTCGAGCTCAGGCTGGAGATCCACGAGTTTCGCCTCCCCCCGACGGTGCGCGGAGCACTTTTTTGCGGCTGCGAGACAGGCGAGGCACCGGTCGGTTTCGCATCCACCGCCACCGCCTTTTCGTTTGCTGCTTTGTTCACCTCCTTCTCATTTTGGGCGGCCACGCTGGTGGGTGCTGCGTTCGAAACGGAAACGGGCGGGGGAGATGGGGCATGGTTCTCTGGAGAAGGCTTCTTTTCCGCGTCACATTGTTGCGGGGGTGTTGGTCCTCCTCCGTCCGGTATCGACTTGTCGCTGACCAGGGATGAGGCCGATTTGCAGCGGGATAAATGGTCTGCCGTTTGGAGAATGGGTGAGTTCCACAGACATGACATTGCATGCGAAAGACGCCCCAAGTACAGGGCGCACGATCGGACTCACCTTTCTGCGAGTGATGAAGCCAGCTGACATCCACAGTTTCCACCCCTTCCATTTTGACCACCGGTGCGTTTGTACTGCGAGTGTGGTTGACTGTGACGTAACCGAGCAAATATAGAATTTGGTGGAGAGGTTAAATGAGGGCTGCACCTGCAAACTTCGAACTCAAGCACCAACCCGTCGAACAACAAAAAAGATGAGACGATGCGGTGGCAATGGTTCGTTCAAAAAGGCAGCAGTCAACGTATGGTCGAAGAATGTTGAGCGACGGTAGAACGATGGAAAAGCCGAGGAATGCGCAATGCAGATCAGTAGTAGTCAAGTAGGATTATGAACGGCGACGGCGGGTAAGTTCCATCATGACATGACGGCGAGACACAGCGGACATGACGGAGCTGACAGTGTGGGGTTTGGGGTAGTCACGCAGTTGCGATCGTGAGGCGGATAAGAAATAAATCGCGCATCAAAGGAGGCGTGTAGAATGAATAGTAAAAGGGGGTGGAAGGGGAAAGTAAATATGACAAGGAAGGGAAGAGAAAGTCACGATGAGTGAGGGAAGCGAAGGGAATATCAATCTATGGGACGATGGAGACGGGGTAGTTTAAGGAAGAACAGGAAAGGTGCGGACTTTGCGGGCAACAGAACGAGGCGATCGGGAGGATGGGGGGAGGGGCGCCGATTCGAGACTAGACTAGGAAAGTAGCATGATTATCCATTATCCATGATCCATTAGTCGGTGGAGAAAAGGAGAGAGACAGAGAGAGAAGATACATATTCGAGCTCTTTTACGGAGTTCTCTACAAATCTCCTTGGGTCTTTTCTCTCCCTCGCTCTTTTTGTTTTCCTTTTTTTTTTTCTTTTCTCTCTCTCTTTAACTTTCCCTCTTCTGTGCTGTTACTTGGCGGAGGGAAGAGAAGGCACGGAAGGGAATGGAAAGGTCACGGGTGGTAAAGGTAGGTAACCAACCAACGTTACTTGACTTGATTAGTAGTAAAGGGAAACGAAGGGTTCGTTTGGACTGAGTACTGAGTAAAGCTCGTAACCCTCGTATTATGCAGCCACGGCCGATGACGGAGACCAGACCCATTCTTCGCCCATTGATTGCTTGCCACCCTTGCCTTTTTCCCTCGTCACTCTGCCAAGCCTGACCATACCATACCTAACCTACTGCGTACTCTACAACCGTGACGAATTCATGGATTGGAATCACACCAGAGTTGAGGGGGGAAAAGAGAGAAAGAGAAATCGATTCGACTCCGTCAATCACATCCGGGTACAGCACATGTAAAACATGACTTCAACCGTTCTTCATATGAAGATATTGTTACCCACCATATGCGCTGTCCGTCCGCATTTTGCCTGCCTCTCTTCCCGCCTCGACCTATCAGAATCGCACTAAACCCCGTTTCCCGTTCTCAATTTTTGTACCTCCCCGGCACATGACCTGGTCACCTTACTACTATTGTACAGCTACTGTACTCATGTGCTTTTGCACGCGACCCGCTCTGCGTCATGAAGTCATTCATTCAGCTGCTGACTACAACTGACGCTCGTCGCTTGCATAATTAGGCATGTAGCTAACAATTAAGCAAGAGTGCAGCCCACCTCAACAGCCAATAAGACCCTTCCTTAGGTGCTGTACTGGGCTGTAGGTATGCGCTGTACTTCCAAGCGTGGTCATGATAGAAAAATGCTTACCTGTTCATCAAACAAAACAACCCTGTCAACAAGGTGCAGACCGCAGAAAAGCTTATTGACACCGGCCGATAATAATAGCCCTTGTAACTAATCCATTGAAGTAAAATATGAATAAAGACAAGAACAATTAACTTGTCGATGCACATATGACGAGAGGGCTCCCATGCCGGCTTCAACCCTGGGCTTCCCGGGTAGGACAGAACTTTATCAGCGTTGCTTATTCGCGCCTCGGTTAAGCCTTCATCGTTATATTATAGACAGAGAGATTGGGGCGAAGCGTTAGGTTATCTCTACATTATATCGCAGGGTAGCATTATTACAAATGTCGAAGTGAGGGTCAAAATCTATCATCATGTCCCAGGGCGAGCAGGCCTCACAACTTCAAAGCCTTTCGTCTTTTTCCTCGACTTCCACGACGATCGCCAAGATCTGTCCTCCCCTGTGGCACAAGTGTTTTCCGTTCGTTCTACCCTCGCATTGATGTGCAATGCCATCGGCCGACCGTAGTATTGATCGGCCTCGCGTTTGGAATAATCGCCGTCGCCGCTGACTGTCGTCGTGTCTTCGTCCAAGATGCTCAGGTCAACAGAGTCCATGCTGGACTCCACCGATTCATCCAAGCTGTGAGACTGCCTTGAGAGGGTGGAGAACTGGTGCGACGACATAGAGACGGGAGTCATGGGCCGTGGAGCCCGAAAGTACGATGGAAACTCATTCGTGCTCGGCATCCCTGTGGATTGAGGATAGGCTGAGGTGGCCTTCATTAGCATATCACGATCGCCAAGATACCATGTTCCGGACAATACACACCCACAGGACGAAGCTCCGGGAGCTCCGTGAATGAAGTCTTTCGCGTGGACCGTTGCGAAAGTTGACCAATTCCATAAATCTAGGAAGAGACCCATTAGTCATTGGGGCCGTTGACTTTCTTAAATGCATCCACATACCGGTGCTTCACGAGGTTGCACGAGGGGGCCACCATGGAAGTGCACGATTCCCGCTTTGCGAAGTATAAAGAGCGCTATGCTTATGGTGCAAGGGACCAGAAACCCGAGGAAAATCATCGTTGCATATAGAATCAGAATACTGTATGCCAGTATACCTTGATTGTGCTGGGATGCCTCAGATTGCGGGAGGAAGGCACAGCTCATGAAAAGGCTGGCAAGCCTGCCAATCGAAAAGCAGGCAGGTCGCCAGGCTGGAAAGTCCTGGCAGTGCCAAAGCAGGCAGACGAGATTGATTGTCTCACATATGATGAGTACCACAATCTGGGCAAGGCCCGATCGTTGCAATGCTCCGATCGCTATGCCTCTTACAATCGGAATGCCGTATAAGACACAAAAAACCCACGTTCCGGAATGATGCTTAGGGAACAAGCTTCCATGAGAAAAGGCCCAATATCTGTTGGTCTTGATCAGATACCGCACGGTGAAGCCCAAAGACACAGCAAGGAGGCCGACAAGCAAAACCGCGAAGAAGGTACGGTAAGCCGGGTACCATGATGTCAATAGGAGTTGACTTGTGGAGAAAGTTACAAGGGGAAAGAGAAAATGGTCGAGCACGGCTCGGAGGATACTCCATCCAGTACGCTGGCATTGAGTCAAGGATTCTTCCTGAAGATCCGACAGCTCAATCGCTTGTCGCCTCCGAAAGATCCTCGACGCCCATTGGAATCCGAAGGGGACTTGCACCAGCGCCACGATCCCCACGATGACGAGGAGCAGGTTGACAATCGCATTGACCCAGAGATCACTGATGGTGGTCCCGCCCAGGACCTGTGTCATCTCCTCCAAGCCCCAAGTCGAATTAGTGGCATAGATTCCATCCTCAACACCCGGGTAGGCGAACCCATGTGTGACAGGCCAATTCCGGAAGATGAGCGATGACCAGGCCAACTCCCCGACAATCGCTCGGAAGAAGCCCGGGTATGAAAGCGTCAGGCAGCTAGTTAAGAAAATGAACTGGAGAAACTGGAGACAATCGCCTAGTCCTTGTACGTGGGATCGGGCTGGGTCACAGGATGGGTCGGCCAGCTCGTACCGAAACATGCTTCTGCCATTGGTATGAAAGAGCCTGAGCGGGCCTGTAGCGATTCCAAACAAGACCATAATCAAGAATGGAAGAGCGTTCAGTAACTTCGATATCACTGAGCCGATGTAAGGCGTGATATGGGCAGTGATACAAGTTATTTCCTGGCCGCCCAACCGCAGATGGATGGTTGTGTCTAGTGTGTGCAGGGCATATGAGTGGTTGAGATAGTAGGAGGTCTCGTAAATAGCATGTTTGTGAAGGCCTCCGGTCAAGTGATCCTGACTGTGACCTTGATTCGACATACTGAAGTGCTGCCAATAAGGATTCTCGGCACATCTGCCCCGACTTTCTCCCTGAAAGCCTACTGATCCGCCCAGGACACTTGCATCCACCACCAACTGTGCCAGAGACCCATTGAGAGAGTTACAATCGGCTTCATAATCCCCCGTTAGCTTGAGAAGTAGCGTTGGGCCATCATGGTCTGAGTGAACCAGGGAACCAGTTAAGGATTGCTGCTGAAAGCTGATGGATTCACTGGGTGCAGCAATGGCAGGATTGCAATCCCAGCGGCGAACAAAGGCGGCCTGCGCCGATGGCAGCAGGAATAGAGCCCACGGCAGAAGAGTCAACATCAGTTATAAGACATGCCAAACCAGAACCAAAAAAAGGCATGGTATGGCCGGATGACGAAGGAGGAGGGAAAGGAGGGGGAGGAAGGGAAAAAGATCCTTGGAAGTGTATGAAGGTATGAAGAAGATTACCCATCATATCGAGAAGAGTTTGGAGTGCCCAGTGGGCAGTGGGCAGTGGGCAGTGGGCAGTGGGCAGTGTAGAATCGAACTACTCCACCGGGGTAGGTAGCCTTTCTCCAGGGGTCGGGCGGGAAGAAGACCAAACAGAAGAGATTTTCTTCTGGTGGCCGTTAGTCTAGTAGTGCCCGGTTGATGGGCGATGGATGTGGGGAGAAGCTACCCAAAATAGTAAGGGGTTCTCCCGTCCACGGTCCATCCACGGTGGCGTCGTTGCAAGAGTACTATTTACAGTATAGTGTGTCTCAGTCCCAGGGCTGAACATTTATCAGCTACCTACTCTGAGTACTACATTCTGCAAATGCAAGTCACATCTTCCGGTAGAGTATCAAGTATCCAGCGTCTGGGGTAAGCATACCAAAGGACAAGGGAACAGTCCTCAACATGCATGCATTAGCGTCTTGTCCCACCTTCTGCGTCGCTTGGCCACATCTGCCCACTCTAGTCATCTACAACACTGCCATCAAGCAATGATACCTTTCCCATGGATACCAAATGCACTTGTCAATCTCATTCATGAGGTGCAGGGCCAGCTCTGGGTCGACCAGGTGAATGAAAGCCTGTATACAGAACACGCCATCTCTGCCGCTGGGTGTCGACTTCCCATCCCGGACAGCTTCCCTGTCAACTGGATGGCGCCTTTCACCATGGCGCGTAAAATGCTGGCATTGAGATGGTCTTTAGTGATGGCGTTGCCTGGATGGTTCGTTTCCCTCGGGTTGGAAGGTTCTGTGACGACTATACAGATGAGAAGGTTGCCATGGAGGTTACGGCGCTGAACCTCATCCACAATCGCACTACAATCCCGGTGCCGAAAGTCCACGCGTGGGGTCCCGCTACCAGCAACCCGCTCGGTCTCGGCCCGTTCATCATCATGGACTTCATTGACGGCGTGAGCCTTAGCGACTTTCTCCGAGCCCCCAACGCCGAGCGCCCCACTAGAGTGATGCGGGAGGATATAAGCGATCGTGACGATTGAAATCATTTGCAGGCAACTGGCGAGCTTCTTGCTCCAGCTCTTCGAGCTCGACTTTGACCATATTGGCAGCCTGCCGTCGGCGCAGGCTGATGCCCAGGGTCCCACACTGCTGCGACCGCTAACTTTCAAGGCACATAGCATTCTGCAGAATGGAGGGGTGAACACGTTTGGTACGTCTGGCCGCCTTGCCTTGACTTAGACTTTGGACCCTGAAACCTGTGGAAGAGTGCGTTAACGAAGCATTGGAACGCCAGGTGACCGAACCCAGGGATTTGCGACAACGACAGAGTATTTCCACTATGTCGCCGATCAAGACTTGGGGCAGCTCATTCACCAGCCAAACTCAACCGTTGGCTCATACGACGCTAAAAACAAATATGTGGCGTTCAAGGTGCTGAGAGCACTGATACCAGACTTGGTCTCAATGCCAAATATGACCGTTGCGAATTCAAGCTGATTTGCGACGATCTCGGCCTGGCGAACCTGATTGTCCGTGACAGAGAAGACCTTACTGTTGTTGGTGTAGGAGACCTCGAGTGGTCGTATGTTGGACCAGCGCAGCTGTTCGGCTCGGCACCGTGGTGGCGTCTCCAGGACAGGCCCGTCAACAGCTCATGGGACTTCACCGGCGACGAGCCTCCCGAAATCGCCGCCCGCTACTTCAGATGCTTAGACATCTTCATAGACGTGTTGGAGGAGGAGGAAGCAAAGATGCCGGGGCATGATGAGCGAGAGCTGTCTAGTCTGGTAAAATGGTCACGAGTCTCTGGGGCCATGTGGCTGCACATGCTTCTCTCGCCTGGTTTCAATGACCATCGCTCACTTGCTCTCACCCAACGACGCCGACACCTAGGACCCGCGGAATGAGCGAATTTGACAACGCGGAAGAGCTCGAGGCCTTCGCAACCCGGAAGGTGCGGGGTCTAGACCAGTATGATGAAGCCTTAGAGGCACTGGAGGAGCGCAAGGCGCTCGCGGACGACGGTAGAATGACACGGCACGAGTTTTTGAGCCATGGATCTTCTCTCGTCTGACAACCAGCAATCCATAAGGCTCGGAACTGGATCGTAATTAGACCGGTCAGGTCAGTAAAGTACAGTACATACTCTATTTGAGGCATTTTTCGAACTTGTTTCTGTACCGATGGCCGGGAGTACTCTATACCCACCCCCTAATATCATCGGAATATGGTGCCGAGACTCGATCAGAACCCGTATATCCGAAGATAGAGAGGGGAGGTTGGTCCCGGCCGGGACGGACATGCTCAAAGGGTTTGACGACTAGGGCGGCCGGGGGTTTCTGTTGGAAGAATTACTTCAGGAGACTTAGGCTTGAAGCCATACAAATTCGTTGATATCGTTGTTGATTATTGATGTTGTTAAGGAAGGAATTAGGCTACGTTACATGGTGTCTTCATTCTGCCGTGTCACGTGGCCCGGCGACCCCAGGCCTCATACACACGCCGATAGTTTCGAAGAATCTGCCGGATTCGGTAGTACGCTCCGGGGATCAGCCTGGAATCTCGATGGGCCGAATGCCGCAATTATTCATGTTACCGAAGCACAATGCATGGGGCAAACTGATGTAGAGGAGTGGCATTATGTCCGACAGGCGATGATATATATAACGCACCTCCGTCATTTGACATAACGAAGGTTCACATATGACAATCAAGAGATCATGCAAGAACTATGTATCAGAACCACGGGCAATGATCCTGGCATGATATGTATATCGCAGATGCTCGATACATCTTCTACGCTACGGCTACGCGGTTCATCGGAGCAAATATAGTGAGAGGGCTGGTTGTTGAAACTGGGAAAGAAAATCGTATTGAAGGGAGGTAGTTGCTCCGGAAGAACCATGGACATAGACAAAAAAAAACTCCGGTCGTAACAAGAGTCTCGAGTCAGACTACTTGGGGATATCACAAATTGAAGATGGTTAGCAAGACAAAAAAGACACCCAGGTCACCGTTTTTTGGATTTGTGTTAAAAATAAAAGATTTTTTAACTTTTGTTTTGTGACTATCGCACTTCACGCATGCATAAAGCACGAATGGCCTCCACAACAAAAATCCATTTAAGCGGCAAGCTCGCGGATCTTCTGCTCGACGCGGGCCTTGCGCTCGTCGTGGGTGAGGCGGACCTTGCGGAACTTCTTGCTCTCGGCCTTCCACTCCTCCTTGGTCTTCTTGGAGTCGGCATCCTCGTCCTTCTTGAAGGGGTCCTCGCGGATGGCCTTGTGGGCCTCGGTGTAGAGGTCCTCGATGTCACCGGCCTCAATGCCAGCCTCGGTGTACTTGTGGAACTGGCCACGGAAGCGCTCCTCATCGTCATCGGCGAGACCCTCCATGTACTCAGCGACGTGACCGCCGAAGATGTAGTTGCGGAGAGTCTCAGCGTCGAGCTCCTCGGACTCGATGTCGAAACCGGGGAAGCGGGACTCGGAGTGGGGGACTATGGGGTTTCGTTAGCACGGAGGTCAATTTTCATGGGCACGACGCGGGAACTTACCGAGGACACCAGCGTCAGAGCAGCCCTTCATGGCACCGAAGACACGGGCACCGGTGGAGGTACGCTATGAGAAATCGTTAGCTTGGTTCAAAAGCTAGGCAAGATCCAGGTTTCGTTTGGGGAGAACTCACGGCAAGACCGACGTCGAGGACGACCTTGAAGGGGCGGCGCTCGCCATCATCAGTCTCAGCGGCCTCGGTGAGAGTGTACTCTCCATCAGCCTCCTCAACACCAGTGAAGGTCTCGTCGAGGTTGAGCTTCTTGAGGGCACGGCGACCGACAAGGAGACCGGTGGCGTAGGCGGCAGCCCAGTTGGTCAGACCGTTGGTGATGCCATAGCGCTTGAGCTCGTGGGAGTAAGCAGCGGCGAAAACCTTGTCACCGGAGATCTCGGAGTAGACGATCTGGCAGATGACTGTGCCGGAAGTCAGCCAAAATTGGTTTCCCTTGTGAATCGATCGGAAAGCGTGATAGACATACCGTCACGGTTGGTGAAGCGGACGACCAGGCGGTACTTGGGGGCGTTGTACTTGTTCTTGGCCTGGGTGATCAAGCGCTTACGAGCATAGTAGTCGGTCTTACCCTCGCGGCGACGACGGTACTTAGTCTGGTAGCGGCTGTGGGATTGATTAGAATCTCAGACAATGCGACCGGCAGATTCAGAACAACAAGAATCAAACTCACCTGTAGTAAGCGCTGTTCTTGACCTGCTTGTGGAAAGGCTAGATCGCGAAAACAAGCGAGTCAGCAATTTGCGCTTCAGAAGGAAATCCGACTTGTCCGAAGCATCTTGCAAAGACCCGAAATTTCGTCCCACAAATCCCGCTAGGGCGGGGGGTGGTGGGAAAATCGAAATCCCATTTGGAGATGAAGGAGCAGCCGAGAAGAATCGTGAACCGAAATGTTCGATTGCAACGATCGCTAGAACGAGGTCTAACTCACCATTTTGACGGTGACCGGGTGATGAGGACCGAGTTGTCGACGTTGGCTGCTAAGGACGGAGGGAGGAAAATTCGTGGGCTGACTTTGTGGAAGGCCTCGCTTAGCGCTGCCTGCATCCCGGCCATGAATTGCGGTTGGCGACGAGCGGGCGGCCGCCGCTGCCAGCCTTGGCCACCCCAGCTTTAGGAAAGTATAGAGAACACCAAGTATACCCCAGCATGCCAATGTGCAATAAGCTAATTTTCTGACTCAAATTGATCGCGGGATCTACTCTAATAAATATTGACAAATAAATTACCTCGAAATTTCTACCACAGAACATTATACTAGCGATGATAATTGACAGTGTCGGCAACAACCAGAGGTCAAACCAGCGTCTATAGTCGCGCCTTATCTGAACCTGCTTGTAATTGAAGACCAGTCATCTTCTCCAGCTCTCGAACAGCATCTTGCGTCCGTCCAAGGTTCACCTTCAGAGTTCTCATTCCTGCCTTCTTTGCACCCTTCAAGTTCTCCCCAATGTCATCGAGGAAGACCACATCCACTGCGTGCACCTCGCCTTGACCTTTGTCCTTGGCGATTCGGTTCATCTCCCGCAGTGCAGCTTCATAGATCTTCTGGTCCGGCTTTCGGAGACCTGTATGTGCCGATGATATGAAAAAGTCAAACTGGGATTTCCTCTCGTCGAGATCACGATTGTACGGGTGTCCGTCCGGGAAGATGACGGTATTCGACAAGGCTCCCAAGATGAATTGCCCTGATTCCTTCAATTCCTTCAAGGCCGGAAACATATGAGGGTCCGGTGTTCGCGATACCCTCATCATCTCCCAGAACAAAAACTCGGCATCGATCTTAGGCACCGGAGGGGTGGGCGACTGCGTCCCGGTCGGGCTTTTGCTCTGGATCTTCTCCTGGAATTGTTTCCAGAGACTCGGGCTCTGTAGGTCATTCTGGAACCCGACGAAGAAGTCGGCGTCCATCTTGATATCCCCCCGTTCTAGTCGGTGCCAGCTGCCGTTGGGCGCGGTACGCGAGATGCTGAAGTTCACCCATCCTGGAGGGATGTTGTGGGCAAGCTCGTAGTCCACAATCGCCTGGAAGGGGGAGAGGACCTACTGGTCATTAGTATCTGGCTGCTCAGAGATCTGGGTCTGCATGGAGAGGTGCCTCGGCCTTACACACACTCCTCCGATGTCGAACAGGAGGCCTCTAGGTCGTTGGGTGTCTGACATGATGATTCCGTGCAGCTCAGCGCAGCTTAATGTAAGTTGAGTGAAGTCGCATCCGCAGTTGAACAAGCTTCAAGTCAGTAAATGTAGAATGCGCTGCCGATCGATGTTGGGATCGATTGTCTGTCCTGCGGAGTAATGCCAGATTGCCGAGGTTAGATAGATGGCCTGCAATGGCGCTTTCTCATCGATCAATGCCAATCAGCCCCGTTTGGGGGTCACCTCGGCTCTCAGGTGGCGGTGTCTATTGCATAGTACTAGATTGAGCTGCGAGATAGTCTGCAGGACTCCTGAGGATGCAACAAATGCAAGGAGTTGATGTTTGATCATCCGTTCGTTGGAAGGGTGAAGTCGCAAAGAATCACGTGGTCGCGTTATCGATAGGAAGGCGGCACGCGTCGACGACGAGAATCAATTGAATCGCCTTCAATCTCAAAACCACCGACGCATCGTCATTATGGGGCCATGGACTCGACTCGTACCATTTCCGAGTTGAAGTCATCCTTCATCCGAGCGCAAGTGCGCATTCTGTCTGAAAGCCTTCAGCCGCCCGAGGATTGGCGACATTATGCGTCCGAGGCCACCGAGGATGAGCTGAGCGATAAGGTGGTCGGAGATGCTCTTAAGAAATGTGAGTACTTGTCTCGAGTCTCAAATCGTTGATATTTTTGCTTTTACGTTGGATACTGTCCCTATCTTGACTTGGTCAGGACTAACTTGGCCACAGTCAATGCGTCTCTGAAACAACACAGTCGGATCGTTTACTCGTCGCAGGCCATTCAACATGTCGCACAGCAAATCGCACGTCTTTACTGGTCCTCCGTGAATGAATCGATGCGCGACCGGGGCTCTTTGCACCAAGGGGTGGAACAATCTGTGGATTTATCCAACCACATGTGAGCTACGCCTCAGTATCCCAGCTCCGAGATAAGACTTTTGGAGTTTGACAGTCTGACTGTATCCCAGGAATATTGCGCAACTGCCGCTGGAACTGGAGGATCCGAATGCGAGCGACGGGGACCGATTAAGGTATGGATTACATCGGTGGCAGATTTCAATTGCACCTGGCTAACAGTAGTACAGATACCAAGAACTACGCGAACGTCTGGTCGCCCTGGACAGTCGTCGGAAGCAGCGACAGCGGCGGTTCAACCAGTTGCGACAGCTACAACGCTTACTGGAGCCTTTCCAGAACCCGCAGGCTAACATCCAACCAAACTTGGTCACAAGAGATGGGAAGTTGGTTCAAGAGCTGGACAAAATGCGGATGCTGGTTGCGCGCGTAGGAGGGCGGATTGAGCAGGGCAAGAAGAAGCTCAGCAGTGATGAGCAGAACGCTTCGTACTCGCTAGAAGGCGATGAGAAGTTGGAAGCGTTGTTGGACATGACTGAGTGAGAGAGATTTAGCAGAACAAATGGGGATGAGGGTATACAGAACAACAAAACATAGAAGTAAAAAAAAAAAAAAAAAAAAAAGAAATTCAAAGCAAAAACCACAGAAAGCTGAAAATCTGGGGCCGCATGCTTAGAGGCTGCATATACATGAATAGGTACCATTTGTTTACTTGTTCTCCCCGGAAAAGGTACGGCGGCCGAGACTGGTAGCACAGCTGCATGGATCAGATTTGCCCTAGACAATCATCATCAGAAGATGATCCCAATCACTGGACCTGCCGTTGTGTCTGTCTAAAATTAGGGGGAGAAAGTTTCCAATGCAGTTTGGTAGAATTCTGGAAAAGGTGCAAGGGGGCAAGGCAACGATTGAATTACCTACAATTGCATCAACCACCGCAGGTGCCAGTTCAGTGAGTGAGTGAGTTGTTGCGTTGTTTATTCTTATTTGTGCAGGTCCCGGCCGCACCTGCTGCTGCTACTGCTGCTACTGCTGCTTGTGCTTGCTTTTCCTTCTTCCTTCTTCTGGTTTCTTTTTTTTCTTCCTCTCTTCTTTTGGAGAATGTGTTAACTCTACTGTGCTAAGCCTACTTATTCTTTTTATCTAACACCCTTGACAGTTACCTTCAACTTCCGCCAACTCCCCATGTGCCTGACCCTGCGTGTGCCTGTGCTTCTACCTCAGCCTCCAGCCCGTTCATGAGTCCAAGATGGGAGAAGCCGAAGTCTTCACCGCCTCCAGTTGTGGCGCTAACGGGGCTAGTGCTCGGATACATTTCTCCGGATCTCCGGCGCTTGACCCTTTTGGCTCAACACCGGGAGTAGTGAACAACACGGAGCGCAATGACGACGGCCACAATCGCCAGCCTCATCTGGCCTCTACGTCTGTGGCTTCAGCTCCTGCCTCTGCCTCTGTATCTGCAGCGGTCGCGTTTCCAACTCTCGATTTTTCTTCTTTCCCCGATCTCACCCCATTGATTCCACCCGACCGGAAGATCAAGAGTGAACCCGTTTCTCCAGTCCGCAACACCAACCCGTCCACACCCCCGTCTGCTTCCAAGCCAGCCTTTGTCCGTGGACATCGTCGTCGTTCCACCCACGTTACTCGGCGCGACCTCGACAAATTTCGCAAAGAAGTTCTTGGCGTAGAGAGCCCAGGTTTCGGATTCGACGACGATCCCAAGCCCCCCGCATCGACCAATCCCGCCCGCGACCCTCAGTTTGAAGCCTTGAACCGTGCTTTCGAGGCGGCAAGCATGTCCTTGAACAACGCTGGGGGCATGGCTGGCAACAATCCCGGTGCGAACATGTACGCCGGCTACGTGGATAACACCGGAGGTGGCCAGAACATGCCCAATGTCCCTCGTCAGTCTATGTCGTCTGCCATGCCACATACCCCTAGTCAGGTTAACGGCGCCGGAATGCCTGGGATGAACGGTGGTATGCCCATCAATGCGGGACAGCAGATGGATCTTCATCAACTCTATGACATGGTCCTTGAATTGAGCGAGGTGTTGAAGAACAACCGTGAAACTACGAAGAGTATTGTCAACAGTGCGGAGGAGATCATGGTATGTTTTTTTTTTTTTTTTTTTTTTTTTTTTTTTTTAAATGGAGGGGGGGCTTGGCAGTGCTGACGGTTCTAGAAACGCTCTTCTGTCGAAGGAGTAAGTCCGAGCATCCAGCAAGTGAATGGTGAACTTTCAGGTTTGTGAATGACCATCCGAAATATGAGCACCATACTGAGAAGTCCAGCTGCCCGCATTGCAGAGCTTGAGCGCGCCCTCGCGAAAGAGAAATGTCTCGTTGAAATCCTTCGGAACGAGCAGGTGGAGAACACGAAGCTGATTGGGGAATACGAGGCGGCCGTGGGTGTTATGGTGGAACAGATTCGCAACTACTGCCAGAACAACAACCTTCACTATCTCGCGCAGAAACGTCACTATAACAACCTTCTCCAAGCTGAGCGGGACTCCCACCTGGAAAGTCGACTGGCTCGTGACTACTGGCATGCACAGACCATGAAGTGCGCCGAAATGATCCGCACCGCTTATCGCCTGCGCTGCGAGGAAGAGGAAACCCCGATTCGCATCATTGCTGGTCTCCAGAACGAAGTGCGTGCCTACCGCAACGCCCTCGGCATGGAGCCCGAAAAGCCCGAAGAGGAATACGGATGGGAGATCCTGAAAGACGTCCCCGGCGGTTCCGAGTGAAGTAACATGGCAGCTTCCGTACCCTGGCGGTATGCTTGAGCTATGACGATGACGACTTGGTTATCGTCCTTTTTTTTTTCTGAGCACATGACTTTACATATGGCGTTCTGGAGGAGCACGTGTTACTTACAGGATTGTTTTCGGGGAAAGATACCCATCTTCGCATGATTTGTATCACTGTCTTCTACCGGTTATGGGGGGAATATTATGTACCTCATTGGACATTCGCATCGGATCTCTCGTCCAGCCTCAAGATCTGAGATTTGATCCAAAACAGCTTGCATATATCTTACATAAAGAACTAATGATGCTTCGCTGAACCTTTTCCCTCCCAATCTATTCCGTATAGAACACCTCATCCAACACCTTCCACCACCCCGGCCCTTCAGCACTGCCCACAGCCCCAGGGATCGGACTCTCCTACGCCACCGAACAGGATCAGTACAGTAGAGCCAAGCCCCCCCCCCCCGCCATTCCCGTATGAGAGGCAGAGGAACAAAAGGAAGGATCCCACATACCTGCATCCCATCCGTCATCGCCCACCACTCGCGCACCTTGGGATTCGCCCGCATCCGCTCCATATCCCCCTCGTAGTCCTCCCCGATATACTTGAACGTCGCGAACAGCGTCCGCTCGTTGTCGAAGAAGATCGAGTCTAGATTCCGGAGACACCAGTGTCAGTCTGTCCCCTCGGCCCAATCAGTTTCGTCACGAGTGCCGAGTATATTCCCGGTAGGCCGTCCTTTCGACCCTGAGGGAATGTAGGCAAGTGGTAGGCAGGTATCTAGCGCGCGAGAGAGAAGGGAGAGGGCAACCTACAATCCCGAATATGACACTGGTGGATCTGCCGCAGCACCTCGGGCCAGACGTTGGCGTGGCATTCTTTGTATGCTGCGACGGCGGCGGGTTTGAGGTGGACGATCTGCGCGATGCGGCGGGGTGAGGTTGGCGGGGGCATTTTCAGGTCGTCGGTCGGTGGGTTTGTGCTGGTTGGGGTAGTGGTGGTAAGAGAGGGGGTTGAGGGTGGGTTGAGGGGTCGGGGGTGGGTTGTCCTCGCGGCGTCGCGAGATTGGGAGGAGGAGGGAGCGATGCAATGTTGAAATGGCGGTTTGGTGTCGTTTGTGAGGTTGGATTTGGGTTCTGGTTGCTTTGTTATTGCTTGTGCTTTGCTGGGGGATTTGGAGATAGAAGGAGGGGTTCGTCGCGGCGGGGTTTACAATACTAGTATATAGGCTCGGGGTGTTTTGACCCGAATCGTGGGGTGAGGGGTGGTGATCTTGACTGTTTTGTGAGGGGGGCTTGGCGGGTGTCTATCACTGCTGTGCAGTACATGTTTGGTGAGTGGTGCGGGGAGGTCCTGATGGGTCTCGGCTTGGGATAAGTACTCCAAAGGGGTCATGGTTGCTGTTGTCTATACTTCGAATTCGACAGGCGAGGAAGGTACAGGTTTATATATATAGTGGAGGGCGGACACCAGGTAAAAGTTGTGGTGAGCTGAAGGTCATATATCATATCATGAACCCGAGATTAAGAACATCATAGAAGAGAAGTACGCGCTTGGTATCCATCATAAAACCAGTCATCAATAATCAAGCAAAATTCGAAGCCAACAACGGCTCTATTGTTGTACAACCTGCTTCTTCGACACGGGTCGGATCCACGAAACAAGAACATTTGCCCCGATAGAGATCGCCCCGATGATCCAGAGGGACTTTGAATAGTCCGAGCCATTGTAGCGGAATATAATCGCAAAGATGATCCCGCCAAGGTTGCCCATTCCGCCCACTGCACCGGAGACCACACCTGCCCGTCTGTTAGTATACCCGAGGTTAAGAGATAGCTGAATCAAGACGTACCATTGGCAAATGGAAAGACATGCGGCACCAAGGCGAAATTGGCACCATTGCACGACTCTAGGAAAAATGCGAGCCCCGCGATGAGCCCGAACATGGTGGATTCAGACTTGGGGTTCGTCAGCCCGATCGCCAGCTCGAAGGCCCCCATGATGACGCCAAGGAACACGAGCAAGATCTTCTTCGACCACAGATTCTGGGTCCGGCGAAGGAGTAGGTCGGCCAGAAAGCCGCCCGCTGGTCGGAAGACGACATTGAGCAGACCGAACATGGCTGCCCATTGTCCGGTCTTGGTCTGGCCCATATGGGGGAAGTTCGCGGAGTAATATTCGCCCAGGTTGGAGTTGATGGCGAGCTCTGCACCGAAGGAGCAGGCGTAAGGGATGGCTACGGCGGCGGTAGAGAGACTGAAAAGTACCCCCATGGCCTCTTTGCGTGTGGGGGCTACCACAGTATCCGTTCGGACGGCATCGAACTCCGCGATGGTCTGGGAATTAGAGCCAAGAGACACGGGGGTTTGTGCGCCTTTCTTCTCCACGTCTGCCATGACGTTTGTCATGGATGGCGTGCTGGAGGGCTGTGCGGACCTCATATCCGCCTTGAGGTCGACAATGTTGCCTTCTGACTCGGCAGCCATCTCGCGAGCCCAGAGGTGGCGCTCTGACCATTTACCCGTGGGCGTGTCCTCGCATAAGAAGAGCATCGCCACAGCAATAACCACAATGATGATAAAAGGGACAATGAAAGCAACACGCCACGCTTTGTGTGGTGTGAGGCCCCGCGAGTAGACCAGCGAATCGTAGACAGCGGGCATCACGAAGCTAAAATGGATCAGTCGACGTCTTGCAATGCTGTCCCCGAGAATTGTCAACGTACTATGTAATACCACCACCAGCATTACCCCAGCCTCCAGCAAGGGCATTGGCCATTCCGACAATCTTCTTGTCAAAGAACCCAGTGCACCAAACCTGACAAGGCACGAATGTGCCTCCCAGGATACCAATGAAGAAGCGTAGCGCGATCAGTCCCTTAGGCGTGGTGACCAGACCAGCCATGGCAGTGGGGATTGAACCGCTGAGCAGCAGTCCGATGAACACCAGTCGCGGTCCAAATCGATCACACAGAGGGCCTGCCACGAACCTCACAAGTAGTCTAGACAATCAGTCAACTTATTGTTGTGCACATATGAGGGTAGGTGTCTTACGTTGCTAGCAGGGCAACAATGTTTGAGTTTGCCACGTCTTGCTGTGTCATGTGCAGGTCTTTTCGGATTGTGACGGTCAACTAGTTGAGCTCCGAGTGTCAGTCGTTATCCTCCATCCTGGCCAAGGAGGAAGGCTCTCCCACTCACCAATGGCGGAAAAGCATACCACGAGAGGAATGCAACCATGAAACCGAGCCACGAGAAGAAGAAGACTCTTCCATATCGATCGAATGGGTTGAGAACAGGAATAGACTGTGCTTTGCGATTACTTGGGTTGATCTCCGGCGAGACAAAGAGAAGTTTGACGAAGTCCATGGTCAGTCACACCGTGTACGAAGGTGTCTGCGTTGTGGTTTAGGAGGTAGAAACTGAAGTACAGGACACAAGAAGAGTAATAGGACTATAGATCGAGCTCGAGGGCACCACAATAGGCAACACCACCAGGGTGCAGAAAAGAGAATAGACCAACGGACCGCTAGGCTAGACGACGGTGCTATGGGTCCGGATGTTTTCCTGTATTCTAGGACAAGGGAGGCGGATTTAATTAATCCAGACTAGGAGGAGAAAATTGCACTTCATATATAGACCATGGTTGGAATCACATCCCAGAAGCTTGGAGATATGAGCACAGTATGATGATGCACCTGGCGAACAATCCCCTATGCCAGAGCAATATCTCTATCTCCTAGGAGATATACAGATGAAAGTCATGACTGTGTCAACCCGAGATTAGGACACATGCCCAGTCGCATATCTCTCAACAGCTCGTAACAGCACTGGGCAGTGCGGCAGCAGGAAAATCATAATCGAGGCAAAATTCATGAAGCCAATCTGAAGAGCGACGCGCAGTGATCCACTCGTCGGACAGTGCTAATATGGTAGTGGATACCGCAGCTCGTAGCGCAGCAGCAGCACAGGACTAGCCGGAGATGACCTCAGGGTTCGTGGCATGGAGAGAAGATCCAGACCCATTTCCATACCCCATGTCGAGAAGTGGCCAACGAGGGTGATTCAACCGGCCAAGAGATAAGGCAAAGGGACCCTGCACGGCAAATGAGTTGGTTGATAGGCGTGGCGCGGATACTGAGGCTGATAAGGAAGTAAATCTGGGGAGAACAACTCCGCGGAGGTCCCAGGACAGTCAGGAAGGTTTTTGGTTATCTATCAGTAAAGGTATCAGCAGCGAGACGGCAGTGACAGGCCCAAAGTCGACCGGTAAGTGGGCCTCGGTCCTCAGGCCCATCTCCATCGGCAGCTAGAAAAATTTTCGCTGGGAATGGATCATCCCGGTTTCTTGGTGTTGCTTGACTTTCGTCAACTTGCCTAACCTGCTATAGTCTATCCTCCAAGTTAGTCCCAACTAGTCTCTGAAACGACCTTGCTGAATGGTCATCCATGGTGGGTGGGAGGAGTATTGCGTCTCCATCTCAATGGAGACTCAGAAAAGGCGGGTGTTTCGGAGCGGTGTCAGAAGCTCTGAAGCAATTTTTTTTTTCTTCCTTTTCATTTTTGGTTCATGGTTTCAAGATACATTGCTGAGGTGAATATATTGCTAGAGAGCAAGCCACGGTTCGTAAAGCGAATCTGAGTGGACGATAGGGGATGGGTGATAAGGGGGAGTGTCGATAATAGGGGGGTGGAAGTTTGTTTTTCAGGATTGATCCATGGATAAAAGCAGTTAGTGGAGATCAGATGCCCACGCCTGCACAGACCACGCGATGGGCTGATGTTCGGCACTCGTAGGCCATCCAATAACATTCCATACATTAGACAAACTGCAAACGTGATGTTCCGTACCCTAATTTCCTGCCAGGTGGTAATATGTCCCTCCCTGCTACGGTACTAGATTCAATTGCCTTGAAATAGGCGAGGTCTTGAAAATCTAGAAAATTGGTAGGAAAGACAAATAATTGAGCATGACAGGGAGAAAGAAGGTCACTGTATGCAGTAATTACCCCGTACAGTAAGGCCCCACACAAATCCCCTTTGTCGTTCAAGGAAGCTTCATGGGACATGATGGGATGAAGTTATTCTTCCTTCTGTTTCCTGTATCAACATGCAGGCTTTGGCATAAAGAATGCTCCACTCATCAAAATATACATGTACAGAGGTAGCGTAGGTAGAATCGTGCTGTGAACATCATATTGACTTCATTAGTTTACAGAATTGGCACATGAGTTTCCAGCCTAGGCACTGGCAACCCCAGGTATCTAACATAGCTTCGTGACAACTCCATCAATGCACAAACGAAAATCTGCAACTACCAATCAATCACTCCAGATGGCACCGCCCGCTTAGTTGCTGGTGTCTTCTCAACCGTTTTCTTTCCACGGATTCCCCGGTACTTTCGGTCATGTTTCTGGAATGGGTCCGGTGCTTCTCCCTTCTTCACTTTCCATTTCTCTGTTCCGAGGAGCGAGTCCAGCTCGTCCACCGGGGGCAGCTTCAGGTAGACCCAGCCATCAGCACGCTCTTCCACGGGGAATGTGGCAATGTTCATGTTCTCGTCATTGGAACAGCGACCCGCCTGCTCCCCGTTAAGCTCGAAGTTGCGCTTGTGATTTGGGCATGATACCCAGTACTTGCCGGCATCATCATCGCCGATCAAGCCATCGGACAGGACAAAGGCACGCTTATGAGGGCACATCTGCTGGGTCGCATAGAATTTGCCCTTGATTTTGAAGACAGCCAGCTGCGTGTCCCCGCGTTTGAGGTTCGCGGATGTGATGCCATCCGAGAAATAGTCTGCTTTGATCATGGGCTGCCACGAAAGACCGGACCATTGGTGGCCCTTGAAGTCCGCCTTCGCAGGCTCATTAGACCAATAGGTGGGTCTTTCTTGGCCACGCTCCTTGATGACCTCCACAGTCTCGACTGTCTCGTCTGTGTTGGCGAATTGTTGGAAATGCTTGCGTCGCTTGGGATCCCGGATCGTTTCCGTCCATTCACAGAAATAGCCGTCCACGAGCTCCTGCATTTGCTGCTCCATCTCCGCGCCAATCCCAAGCTTATCATCAACTACCACCTCCCGCAGATACTCGATTCCACCAGGAAGGTTCTCTATCCAGCGGGCTGTTCGCTGAAGCTTATCCGCTGTGCGAATGTAGAAAATGAGATACCGATCGATTAGGGGAATTACTTTCTCGGGCGGCACATCTTTGGCGAGGATCTCCGAGTGCCGGGGCTTGGCACCTCCATTGCCCCCGACAAAGATATTGAAACCCTTCTCGGTGGAAATCAGGCCAAAACTGAAGGATGTTAGCCTGATGTATTACTAAAGTCGAGGACTTTGTCCGGCTTACTCCTTGTTCTGTGCCTCGGCACATTCTCTTACACATCCAGAAACAGCACCTTTGAGCTTATGAGGAGATCGGAGACTCTTGTAGCGCTCTTCTAGCCGGATGGCCATTCCAACGCTGTCGCCAATACCGAAACGACACCAGGTCGTGCCCACACAACTCTGGAAAGGATGTTAGTCACTTCTTACAGTACAGCACGAAACATCTGATCTCACCTTAACGGTTCGCAGGGACTTTGCATAAGCATGGCCACTCTCCATGCCCGCATTCACGAGTTCTGTCCAAATGTCGAGGAGATCCTGCTTCTTTGCCCCGAACATGTCGATACGCTGACCGCCGGTAATCTTGCAGTATAGGCTGTATTTCTTTGCCACTTGTCCAATGGCAATCAACTTGTCTGCAGTGATTTCACCTCCCGGAACGCGAGGAACCACGGAGAATGTTCCGTTGCGCTGGATATTTGCAAGAAATCGGTCATTCGTCTCTTGCAAGTCGTGATATCCTTTATCCATAATATGGGGGTTGAAGAGACTCGAGAGAATGGACGCGATCGCAGGCTTGCACAATTCGCATCCAAGCGACTCGGGGTTCTTTCCGACCGCCCCCATCACATCTTCGAAGGTCTTCAGCTGTTTCACAGCGATAATATTGTACAGATCCACTCGTGAATGTGGGATGTGAATACACACTATGCGGATGTTAGTTTCCAATTCGCAGGAGAGGGGAAGCCAACATACAGTTGTTTGAGACTTCTTGGCCCATGTCCTGCATGGCCTTGTTGAAGATCGACTGCACTAGGGGCATGCAGCCGCCACAACCGGTCCCTGCTTTAGTGCACGACTTAACCTCGCCAATGGTTTTGCAGGTGCCACTCTTGATCTTGGCAACCAAATCCCCTTTGGTAACATTATGACAAGCACAGATCTGGGTACTGTCGTCACTGCTCATCTGTTAACCAAAGCTTTCAGTATGAAACAGAGGCGAAACTTACAGGTCGTCTCCATTCTCCTCTCCGTCCTTCTGCGCACCTAGAATGAACTGACTAGGAGGCACCTCTAGCTCCTTTTGCATCTTGACCATTTGGTTCAATTTGAGGTAGTCCTTTGTATCTCCGATCATCATTCCGCCAAGCAAATATTTGCCATCCATGGTGAACAAGTATTTTTTGTAAACACCACTGAAGGGATCTTTGTAAGTGAGTGCTTTCACTGACGATTCACTGTCCACCTCACTGTCTTTCCGGTCGGCTTGAAGTGAAGGCCTTTGGCCCGGCAGAAATTTGGGCCCATCCCTGTCAGCAAAGAAGTCGCCAAAGCTGGCAACATCCACACCTAAGAGCTTCAACTTGGTGCTCAAGTCGGGTCTTCTGAAACTCTTTGGCTCCTTGTCGGGGTTCGTCAAATTGTATGCCAAGACATCGGCCATTTCAATACCCGGCGCTATGATACCAAATGTCTGGTTCTCCCAGCTTGCGCATTCGCCAACAGCATAAATATCCTCAACGGATGTTTGCAGACTGCGAGACAAGATTAGAATACGATGGCTTGGCGTGAAGCACATATACAATCATACCTTTCGTTGATGACAAAACCTCCTCGTCCCGCACACTGAATGCCGGCGGTTTGTCCCAGCTCATCTCTGGGACGTACTCCGATCTGGAATGATGATTAGCTTGATAACATTTGCAAAGTCAGCCGAGAAAAGAAGCATACAGCAAAGCAAATGCAAGAGCAGTCAATCTCTTCGCCATCCTCGAAGACAATTCCCGTGACGTTGTTGTCAGCGTCGGTCTTGATAGTCGCTACACGTTTCTGGTGCAACACATCCAAGCCCAGCTCTCGGATTTTGCGTGTCACAAGAGTTCCTGCATCTCCGTCGAGCTGTCTGGCTAGAACCCACTTGTTACGGTCAATGAGTTTCACATTCCCGAAATCTCCAAGATCGGTCATGGCCTTGGCAGCTTCTAGGCCCAACAGGCCTCCGCCAACTGTGACTCCTGTCTCGCCTTTATGCTTTGACGCGAATTCGATCAGATTCTCGAGGTCAGAAATGGTCCGGTAGACGAAGATCCCTTTTGCATCATGACCAGGAGTGTGAGTGGGAAGGACGGCATCAGAGCCAGTAGCAAGGACAAGGATATCGTAGGTGATGGTATCGCCTGTTGATGTCTTGACTAACTTGCGTTGAGGGATGATCTCGGTTACCCGTGTGTTGAGATGATAGTCGAAGGATCTATCTTTGACCGATCCATACTGATTGACATCAGTTATTATTCATGTGCACCACCTCATCATGGTTGACTTACCCATTCTGTTGGGTTCAGATACAAGTCTTCGATCTTGCGGTGCTCGAAGAAGGACGAAAGGCCGACTCGATTGTATGCGACATGAGGCTCCTCCCCGATGACAAGAATGTCGTATTGTCGACGATCTGCATCCTGTTTGATGATCTTCTCGCTATAGGATGGCACGGGAAGTCAGCGCGAGCTCCACTCATACTATACAGTCTGGCCGGGAGAGAACACACATGAGCGAGATGGCGACCATGCCCAAGCCTACCACTACGATCTTCTGACGCGCACTCAACTCATCTCTGCGTGGCTCCGTATCCAAGCTAGGCTCCATCATCAATGACGTCTGGGGGTGGACATTGTGGATAGAGCCAGGAATGACAGGATCGCTGCTCCTGGGTCCATCCAGCAGGGGCATGGTGGCGGAGAATGGGGGCTCAGGAGATCCTGGTGTTGCAGCGGCTCACAAGGAATCACCACAGAGTTGTCTGTGTCACCAAATGGCCAAGAAGCTTTCTACTCATATACTATTGCTGGTGTCATGATGATTTCCGCCAAGGATGCTGATAAGCGCCCGCAGACAAATTGACTGATCTGAGGCATTGTCTTTCTCCGTGGCATTACTTTCAGATGCAAATTATGAGACAATCGATTGGGCCAATTTTTAGCCACAATCAGGGCCTCTGCGCCCCGCCAGGTCGATCTTAGGAGCCACCGTTCATGGGTACGAGCCGTGGATCGGAGATATTAGAGCGAATGGATAAGGATTAAGGCACTGGGGGGGCGGGGGAGCAAGCGCTCAGATACCGTTCTGGACCCAGCGAGGTGTAACTGGGGCGACGAGGAACGAGAGGATTGATTCTTTGCATGTCTCCGCGGAGAAAGGGTAGGAGATGGGGAAGATGGGGAGATTGATAGTCGGGTGAAGATAGAGGACTGATAGTGAGTAACTGCTGCCAATAGTGATGGTCTTACCAACAATGGTCCCGATGCTTATCGGAAATGCTGATAAGCCAAGAGGATCCACCCGATTGGGTGCATGAGCATTGTGCAGGATATGCATGCATATGCTTAGTCAGTTGCGTTCATGCATGCTTTACCTTCGGCTCCTGGCAGCTCTCGCTACTCTACTTCCGTCTCCTCCAGGCATTCTTCTTCAACGCATGACGATGATGGATCATGGAAATGGCGTAAATGAGGCCCATCTTCCCACCCCTTACGATTTTAGTTACGGCCGAATCGGCCCTCCAATGTCAGACCCGGCCACAACACCTCACACCTCCTCGTAATCAGTCCGATGGGGTTGGGTGTGGATCCTGTGGATCTCAAACTACTTACCGTCCGGCACCGGCCTTGTTCATCGCTCGTTTTCTGGTTCTCGTCTCATTCTCCGCGGCCAAAATGGACCTTCTTTTCGCTCGATTTCCCATTCGAGATTTTTCTTTTCTCTCTTTTTTTTTTTGTATTTCCTTTTATTACTTTTTGCCTCTCGCCTAATTATTATTTCCCCTAGCCTCTGGTATAGTCTGGTTTTAGGGGATTTTTGTATCGTCTTTTTATTATTATTATTTATCCACCACATCAGAATGCGCCAGACCAGAACAAGTTTGCCTTGGGAGGCGAACAAGGACTGGAATTCGAAGTAGACTTCCTCTGCTCCTTACGTCTCTCTCCCGTGTCTGCCATTTCACTTTCTGCTGCCTGGTTATACCTCACTTTGACTCCCCGCGGAAATATCCCTTCTCGGCCTCGTGCAACTATCCGCAGCCAGCGAGACTATTGCCCTGTGCTCCGTGGGTAGACCAGATCCCGCAGGCTGCTTGTTGCTTGTTGAGCTAATTCAAATGCCGAATCTTATAGTTTCCCCCTCGGGTTCCCAAGGTCTGCCAGGAATACTGCCTCTCTTTGGTTTTGACTGCCCGAGGCTCTCTTATTTCCTGCTTCTCGGTTTTGCAGGCATCCTGTCGGATACCTAGACGTGTTGGAGCCCCGACCCAGGTGAATTTACATTTCCTCATACCCTAGCCGTTTGCCTGGCCCTTGCGTTGAGAACGCGCCATCACAATATGACGACTGTCACAGAGGTGAGGACGGAGATCCTCACTGTCCCGCTCAAGTCGGCCCCCATCACGGTAGAGCAGGAGGAGATCTCGAGGCTTGAACTCGCAGATATACCCCTGCCGCCTCCATCCAAAGAGCCTACGGAGGTTCTGAATGTGGACAAGCCGACGCCTGATTACCACGTTCCTCGCGACCCTCGTCTGATCCGATTAACGGGTGTGCATCCTTTTAACGTTGAGCCGCCACTTACTGCATTGTATAATGAAGGTCAGTGGCTCCCAGCATCAGACCTTGGTCACGGAGCGTCCCATTCTGATAGACACAAAAAGGGTTCTTGACTTCTCCGGAACTATTTTATGTCAGAAACCATGGCCCTGTCCCTTTGGTCAAGGATGAAGACATTCCCAACTGGGAGATCAGTATTGAAGGGTCAGTACCATATCTCACGACAATATAGGCAATCATTGGCTGATAATAGATGAAGTCTGGTGGAGAAGCCGCTAGTCTTGAACTTCCGTCAGATACTACAGCAATACGACCAGATTACTGCCCCCATCACCATGGTATGTGCCGGAAATAGACGCAAAGAGCAGAACACCGTAAGGAAATCCAAGGGTTTCTCATGGGGCTCAGCGGGACTGTCAACGGCGCTCTGGACCGGTCCCATGATGGCGGACATTCTGCGCAGTGCTAAGCCTCTTCGGAAGGCCAAGTACGTTTGCATGGAGGGTGCGGACAAATTGGTAAGACTTCATAGCAATCAATAGCTATTGGTGTCTAACAATATTGCGGTAGCCCAACGGATACTATGGTACATCCGTCAAGCTCAACTGGGCCATGGACCCTAATCGGGGAATCATGCTTGCCCATAAGATGAACGGAGAGTCCCTTCGTCCAGACCATGGTCGACCTCTTAGGGCTGTTGTACCCGGTCAGATCGGTGGCCGGAGTGTCAAGTGGTTAAAGAAGCTGATTCTCACCGATGCGCCAAGCGACAACTGGTATCATATCTATGATAACCGAGTTCTACCGTGAGTCTCACAGCTTTCCGAGGAAAGACTCGCTGTCTGACAATTCTCAGTACAATGGTATCACCTGAAATGTCTGCCAGTGATCCTAATTGGTGGCGTGATGACCGGTATGCAATCTACGATCTCAACGTCAACTCTTCCGTGGTATACCCTCAGCATAAGGAAATGCTTGATCTCTCGTTGGCTGGACCAACGTACACTGTCAAGGGTTACGCATATGCAGGAGGTGGAAGGAGAATCACACGAGTCGAGATCTCTCTTGATAAAGGCAAAAGTATGGTCCTCACTTGCCAGTCTTCATGTCAGGTGAAGCTAACGTTTCTTCAGCCTGGCGATTGGCAGACATCACATATGCCGAAGACAAATACCGTGAGTTCGAAGGCGATCTTTTCGGTGGCAAAGTAGACATGTCCTGGCGTGAATCATGCTTCTGCTGGATTTTCTGGTCCCTTGATATCGCCATACCTGAGCTTGCAGATACCGATGCCATTCTCGTCCGGGCAATGGACGAAGCCCTAAGCATCCAACCACGTGACATGTACTGGTCTGTTCTGGGAATGATGAACAATCCTTGGTTCCGAGTGAGCATCACACAGGAGAATGGAATGCTCTTCTTCGAGCATCCGACTGATCCTACTGGCCCTGGTGGTTGGATGGAGCGTGTCAAGAAGGCGGGAGGTGACCTGGCGAATGGCAACTGGGGCGAGCGTCATGAAGGAGAAGAGCCAGCAGTGCCTGAGGTCGAGAAGGAGATCAACATGAAAAAAGATGGTGTGACCCGTGTGATCGATCTGCAAGAGTTCAAGAGCAATTCCAGTGAGGAAAAGCCCTGGTTTGTTGTGAATGGGGAAGTCTACGACGGCACCGCTTTTCTCGAAGGTCATCCTGGTGGGGCCCAGAGCATCATCTCATCCGCCGGACTTGATGTATCAGAGGACTTTCTCGCGATCCGTAAGTCGGCCCAGTACCTGACGACAGCCATTCGAACGCTAATCCGCCGACAGACAGTGAAACTGCCAAGAAGATGATGCCCGACTATCACCTCGGTACGATGGACAAGGCCTCCCTGGAGGCACTCAATGATAATGCACCGGAAGCCAGCGAGCCACGCGCCGAATTTCTCCAATCGCGAACTTGGTCGAAGATGACACTAACCAGGAAAACCGAAGTATCATGGGACACGCGTATCTTCACGTTCCAGCTAGAGCATGACAAGCAGACTCTGGGGCTACCCATCGGTCAGCATCTCATGATCAAGGTGCCGGACCCCGCTTCAAACACGGAATCCATCCTCCGCTCCTACACCCCAATCTCGGAAACCAGCCAAGAAGGCACGATGGATCTGCTGGTCAAGATCTACTTCGATACCCCAACCCAGAAAGGCGGGAAGATGACCACGGCGCTGGAGAAGCTGCCCCTAGGGTCGGCCATCGACTGCAAAGGCCCCACGGGCCGATTTGAGTATCTCGGCCACGGCAAGGTCCTCGTCAGCGGCAAGGAGCGTTCCGTGCGCTCCTTCAAGATGATCTGCGGCGGCACCGGGATCACGCCCGTCTTCCAGGTCCTACGTGCTGTGATGCAGGACAAGGCGGATCCCACCACCTGCGTAGTCCTGAATGGCAACCGACAAGAGGAGGATATTCTGTGTCGGGCAGAACTCGACGCCTTCGCGGCGATGGATGACACGAACAAGTGCCAGATTGTCCACACCTTGACCAAGGCCCCGGATAGCTGGACCGGTCGTCGTGGACGCATCTCGGAGGACATGCTCCGCGAGTTCGCGGTCAATGACGGAGAGAGCATGGTGCTGGTCTGTGGCCCCGAGGCCATGGAGAAGTCGGCCCGCACGATCTTGCTGGCGCAAGGATGGGCGGAGTCCGACCTCCACTTTTTCTGATTCTTGGTCGGTCTGTTCTGTTTTGGGGGTCGTGATTGTCCGGTGTGGTAGACCCTACATTCGTACATGTCCGTGGCTTGTAAATATGGTATTGTTATAATAGATGCGTACATACCAGCTGTCCTCATATTTCCAGTAGATCTAACTTGAGATACTAGCTTTTCCACCCCATCTTTTCCATCTAGGCAAACCAGCGGAAATGAGTTTGAGCCGCTTACTGAAGGCTTTCCACCATTCATCTCATCTTATGATATTATGTACTATACCTCCCTATATACTTCCACTTTCACTCATACTAGCCCTCCATATTACCCAACTCCGCAACCTAGATATAACCCTACATTGTCTGACTAAACCGCAGACTCACAACCATCGAGAATCCCACCCTCAATAATACGACTTCACCTCCAGCCGCGCCAGCAAATGATCAAACACGCTCGTGGGGCCCTCCCTCCCCAGCGCTCCCCGTCCGGTAAACAAGGGATCCGGCTCAACACCACCACCACCACCTTCCAACCCCCTCAAACACGCCAGAAACCCGGCGACCTGCTTCCGGAACAAAGGATACAAGCGACGCACCTCCTCCACGGCCTGGGGCCCCCTCACTCCCTCCGCCCCATCGACCCGCGAGAAAGGCGCAAACTCCAGAATCGAAGTGAAGCACGCCTCGAGCCAGCGCCTCGCTTTGTCCAGTTGATTGTTATCATGTTGTTGTGGTGACGGTGGATGTTGAGAGCTCTGATCCGGGTGCTCCTCCACCTCGCCGCTCAACATCATCGCCCGCAGCATCTCATCCAGCATGGCCTCGTGCATCCCGCGGAGCCGCGGCACCGAGCCGGCGGCCGCCTCGATCGCGCCGTCGATATCCCCGCGGTCCAGAGACGCCTCGACGCGCGCCAGACGGTCCTGGAAGCGCGTCCACGCCGTGCCGACGGCGACGTGGCAGCAGTAGTCGCCGACGGTGAGGACGAAGTGCTGCGCCTCGACACGGAAGCGCTGGTAGATGTTGTGGGTGTCGCCGGACAGGGAGGTGCGGGCCGTGGCATCGCGGATCAGCGTCGTCGCGACGGAGACCATGCGCTGGAGGCGGAGGAGGTGCTTGAAGAGGAGGTCGTATTTGGCGAGAGCATTGGCGGTGAGGATTGTGGCGAGGACGGCGGTGGGCGGGGTGTAGATTAGCCGGAGGAAGTCGAGGGCTTCGAGCGCGTGCGGGTTGCGGGCGCGTTGGGTGGCGGCGGGGCTGAGGGTGCGAATTGAGAAGCTTAGGGTGTCGTTGGGTTGGGGTCCGTTGGTGGGGTTTGTTGTGGTGGTACTGATGGAGGAGGAGGAAGAAGATTCGTCGAGGAGGCCGATCAGGACGAGGCGCAGTTCGGAGCTGGCGGGGGGCCAAGTGTCGCGGCTACGGGTCCCCAGGCGAAGGCCGGTGTGGACTGCGGTGCGGACGACGCCGGATTTGCGCTCGCCGCTGGTCATTTCGGGGTCGAAGAGGGCGTGGAAGAGACGGGTGGAGAAGAAGCCATCCCCCAACAGTTGGAAGCGCCATTGGAGGGTGAGGTGGGTGCGCAGGTGGTGTTCTTTGAAGAGCATGTGTAAGCAGGAATAGTCGATGAGAATGGCTTGAGAGGATAGGAGCGGCGCGAGAGACAGGTAAGGCGTAGATGTTAATTCGGGGCTGAGCTCGTGGCTCTGGGTGTGCGGGGACTCGAAGTGAAGTGGGCGGGCTTCTTCGATCAGGCGTCCGAGTCGACTCTGCGATAGAGCCGCGTCGTCTGGCAGGAGGTCGGCTGTCTTCGAAGCCTTGTCGATGTCGAGCAACTCGAACGCTCCGTCAGTCTCGCTGTCCGTCTCGAGGTTCGGTGCAAATGACGCTGCAGCAGCGTGTGTGTCGAGCTGTTCACCTCGGTTGTATTTCAGGATTGCAGCACGCAGCCGCGCCTCGTAGCCAGATGCCTTTCTCTGGATCTTCTCGATGTCAAACCAGGTGCCAGCACAGTCAAGCTTGACAGATTCAGCACCATAGGTCGCGTGGCTTGCAATGGGATGTTGTGGGTGATTTCGCTTGAGAAGCCGTAAACTCCGTCCAGTTTCGAAGATAAGCTGCGCCTGGTCCGAAGGAACGAAAGATGGCATCAGATCTGGAAGGAATCTATAGTCGACTGTTGTCGCCCTAGATGAGAATGTATGGTTATCCGTGGTCTCGCAAAACACAAAGGTCCGCCCGCTGGACGCGAGCTCAATCGAAGTCGACGTCTCCGGCTGGAACCCCACCCAAGTTTCTACATAAGAAAGCCAAGGTTCCATAACCCGGGCAATAACTTGTCGCAGAAGAGGCTCCATCTGGCCAAAGACCTGCGAGAAATGGGCTGCTCGTTCAAGGACAATGGAGATTAGCTGGGTCTCGGATACTGCTCCCTGGACGGCGTCAACCATGTTCGCTAGCACGTGCACGAGATCCCCACATTGCGCGAAGAGGCTCTTGATCTGAAGGAGTGAAGCAAGATGGCTGGCATGTCTGGTGAGTTGCTTTTCAAGGGTGTAGATGATGACCGCTGCTGCGCTAGAGAAAGCGCTAAGCGTCGATAGGTCGTTCGACTTGACAGGAATCCTGTCTACGAAGCGTCGAATGTTCTGCATTTTGGTTCCGCACTCAATTAAATCAGTTGTGACCGCCTTGAGTGCAGTAGAAGTGATGCCGGAGATGCGAAGATTGTTGTGCACGGCCTCGAATGTGTTGTGTTGTTCATTGTAGCGAAAGAACCTGGAACCCCAGCCCAATCCGAGTCTAAACAAGGCCTGGAAATAGACACCGTTGCGAACAATGAGATGCTTCTCAAGGTTGTTCCTCTTAGCAGCTTGATATGCTAATGCCGCGTCGAAGCCTTTGGCGCCGGACTCGCTGAGATATGCGGTTACCGGCTCACGGTGGTGTCGGTCAAGGAACTTCTCCCAGGAATTAAGTGAGACTTCATGGTCAGGATTATGCAGAGTGTTATCCAGGGCCCAGATGTCGTCCGGACGCTGTTCTCCATCTTCCGTTTGTTCCGTGTCCTCGGTTTGGTCGAAACTCGTTCCGAACTGGCTTTCGCTCGAGGTATCTAACGTCGGTAGCAGTGGGGGTTCCGGATCACAGAAGCTAGTTTCGAAAACATCGAGCTCAGGTATCCGAGGCGCAACCTTGTCAAAGAGGTCTAGAGGTAATTTGAAGACTCCACTGGACAGGTCTAGTCAATGTTACAGTTAATTAGTACATTTCGCACGCAACCTTGCGGGCAACGATTGTACACACCTGGTAGCCTCTCATCCCATGGCAGAGCCTCCAACGGCTGCAGACATTGCAGAGTGAACTCGGAGAGTCTCCACAAACCCTCACTCGAGAACGGGTCCCTGACATACTCCTCCGAGTCCATTGTCACGGGCCAAATAAGCAAACCGCACACCGCAACGGCCTCTGAGCAAAGGGTTGCTCCAAACAAATCGTCATCGTCGGGAAGTTGCGACGCGTTTGACAGCGCGCGATCACCGGCTCACCGTGGACTAATAGGTTGGTTACCTGAAACGGGTTTAGCTTCCCCCAGGCTAAGGTACGCCCGGGCCACCGCTTGTTCGGGAAACCGAGAGGAGGAACTTTGGAATTCAGCTTCGCCCGCAGCTAATTTGCTTTGCTTGCATTTGCAGACACCGAGAGCTACAAGGAAGCTCAATCGACCAGATCAGCCCGTCTCTTAGCTGTTCTGTCGCTCACTCACTTCTCAGCACACGCGCGACACACACTAATAATCACTATGCCCCCTCGAAAGAAAGCCAAGCTCACCCCCCCAGGCGGCAGCACCGAGCCTCCCTCCGCAAGCGCCGCGGCCCCCCCCGGGGGAACCCAACCGCCCGCAGACTACGACCCAGTCACAGACCCTTGGACAGATGAGCAAGAGACAGCCTTATTGAAGGGGATCATCAAATGGAAGCCCGTCGGTACGTCAGCCGCAGAGATCTTCACTTCAAAGAATTCTGAAAAGCAATTGCGAATCTGCTTTGAGCTGACTGGTGGTACCTGATAGGCATGCACAAACACTTCCGCATGATCGCCATCTCGGAATTCATGAAAAGTCAAGGATACGCGCCCGCCAATGCAGAACATACTCGAATCCCCGGGATCTGGAAAAAGCTAGGCACCTTGTACAACCTTCCAGCTCTGGATGAACGTGTAAGTCTCTTGAATTTGTGTTATGCGCACCCCTCGCCCCCCACTCCGTCTTTTGGGGCACCATTCCCAGGCGCGTCGCAGCTTTTATGAGATGTTGACTCAATTGCCTTGACGTGCAATTCAGGAAGATTCCTTGATCACCGAAACCTCCGATGATGTCGACGGCACAAGGGAGTTCTACTGCCCATTCGAGCTGCCCGAGGACGAATACGGCGACTTGATGTTCGAGAGGAGATTGGCCATGGAGGGATCCCCGTCGCCGGATCCGAGTGGACCGGCGGACTCGCGAAGAGGGAGCACGGTGGCTGATACGGATGGTACGTGTTGGTTGCGAATGACCCCCTAGCCTCTCAGGTCTTCGACATGGACGCGCGCTGGGAAGCTCCATGTTACCGGTGGTGAAGGCTTACTGATTGTCTTTTTCTGCGTTCTAGAACCCCGCTCGTCTCCCGCGCCGTCGCGAGGAAGGAAACCCGGTCGTGGTGGGCGGCAAGGAGGGCGCGGTACGCGCTCGTCGCGACTGCAGGTTGAGATCGAGACTCCCGGGAAAGGCTCAGGCAACGGCGAAGACGATGGGGATTCGGGCGATGAGTCGGATGAAGGCGATGAGGAGGGTTCGGACGGGGTCAAGGACGATAGCGATCCGGACGAGGAGGCCGATGGAGATGCCGGGGGCTCGCCGACAACACGGAGCACGCGGGCGCAAACGTCTCGGTCGAAACAGAAGGAGAAGAAGGGCGCGGGAACAGGCACGAGACGAGGCGGCCGGAGACGACAGGCTTGAGGAACGATGTTTGGTGTGCGCATGATTGTTTTTCTTACTACTGCAAGAGTTGATACCTGGAGCTAAGAGCTGGCGTTTGGGGTTTGTCTATCTTTGTACGATTACCTTTGCCTATTTCGGTATCACCGCATTTCATGTGATATCCATGAATTCTCACCGGATTGTTGATCATGCTCTCCAACCTTGACCACAAATATCATAGAGTTTCACTGTCATTGTACATGCACCCAAGCATATCACAGCCTTTCAAGACAAAGAGAGATAATATAGCATCTACATACATTGAGGGACATATAGAAAGTTGAGTACACATTTAGTCTAGTCATTCACAGGCTAAAGGAAAAGAACAAGGTATAAAGAGGGAATAGTACAATCGTAGCTTAATCCCTTACAGACGCGACATGATGGCCTCGGCGTACTCGTGGGTCTTGGCCTTACCGCCAAGATCTCCGGTGAGAGCCTTACCCTCGGCAAGGGTATCGAAGGTGGCCTTCTGGATACGAGCAGCGTGCTCGGTGAGACCCATGTGCTGAAGCATCATGATACTGCTCAGGAGCAGAGCAGTGGGGTTGGCAAGGCCCTTGCCAGCAATGTCGGGGGCGGATCCGTGGACAGCCTCGAAGATCGAGCACTCGTCACCAATGTTACCGGAGGGGGTCAGACCGAGACCACCGATGAGACCGGCGCACATGTCGGAAAGAATGTCACCGTACAGGTTGGGCATGACAAGAACCTTGTCGTTGTAAGGAGCGGGGTCGGTGACGATCTTCAGGCAGGAGTTGTCCAGAAGCTCGGCGTCGAACTCAATGTCGGGGAACTCCTTGGAAATCTCGCGGGCGAGGTTGAGGAAGAGACCGTCGGACATCTTCATAATGGTGGCCTTGTGCACAACACGGACCTTCTTCTTGTTGATGGAGCGGGCATACTGGAAGGCGAAGCGGAGGACGCGCTCGGAAGCCTCACGGGTGATGAGCTTGATGCTCTGGACCACACCGTCGACGACGACGTGCTCAATGCCGGAGTATTCACCCTCAGTGTTCTCACGGATCAGGACGGTGTCGACGTTGTCGTAGGGGGTCTTGTAGCCGGCAATGGAGCGGCAGGGACGCACGTTGGCGAAGAGGTTGAAGGTACGACGGAGGGTGAGGTTGAGAGAGACGTGTCCCTTACCGACAGGGGTCTGTTGAGGGTGTTTATTAGCCCTTGCTTCGATAGTAGCAACCGACGGAAAATGCGGAACTTACAGCGAGGGGACCCTTCAGGGCAACGTAGTTCTTCTGCACGCTCTTGATGGCCTCATCGGGAATGGCGGTCTTACCGTCCTTCAAGATGGGAGTAACATCGACGGGCTCCCACTTGACAGGGGCCTGGATAAGAATATCGGTGAGTAATGGGTGATGCGACACACAGATGGTTGAGATTGGGAGAGCTTTACATTAGCGGCAGCGAAGATGTCCTTCACCGACTGGGAGATCTCGGGGCCGATACCATCACCCTCGATCAGGGTAACAGTGTATTTTCCCTATAACGAAGTCGTTAGAGCCATATTGAGAGAGGATTCCGTATAGTATTGTTTGCGAATCCAGGGAAAGAGGAGGAACTGTCGATGATCGCGGCGGAAGTTGCCGGACCAAAGGACATGGACGGGCAGGTATGGGGAAAAAAAGTTCAGGCGGTTGGCCCGGAGCGCGACATACATCAGAACCCTTCTGTCCCTTGAACTTAGCGACGCGCTCGTCGGCAGCGGCGGAGTAGGAGCGAAGCTATACAAATGGTCAGTTTCAAAGATCCAGCTTGTCGCAGATCAAACGGGGACAAAGGCTCTGTCCGATCCTTACCTGAGAGAGAGGCGACACAATGCGAGGGGACACACGTGTGGTCCGCAAGCATTGGCGGGCGGGAGCGACAAAGTTCCTAGCAGCGATCATTGTGACAGGTCCCCGAGAATACAACGACGGACAGGTGAGAGGATAAGATTAAAGGATTGGTGAAGAAAGAGAGGAGAGGTGAGGAGGGAAAGAGGAGAAGGAGGAGGAGGAGAGGAGAGGAGATGGAAAGGATGGGAAGGGAAAGGCGGCGGGCACGGGCGGTCGGTGCGGGCGGACTGGCTTTGCTGTGTGAAAGCAGTTTGAACCTGAATGAGTGTGAACTTCCCTGCCCATTCTCGGCAGCGCCGCTCCCGGTCCGACCAGACCAGCCATCCAGGCATGCCGTGTGTGGCCGTTTGGTTGTTTGGCTGTTTTGGCCAACTGGACCCACGATCAGATAACTGACGAGGCTAACGAGGCTACGTATTCCGACTCTCCGACCGTCCCTTGTCCTTGTCAGGCCTGCCAGGTGGTGATGCAGCAGTAACCTAGTCCTGGGAAACACGGCACGTTTTAGCTTTATCCACTACTCATGTTATCCTTGCCTTCTTAGGAAATCTGACTTCTCTCTTTTCTGCGCTTGCTCCACTACCTCACCTAGACTACCTATACTGTACAGCTCAGCTGCGACCTGTGACTGTATGACGCTGTGACAGCCTAATTGTCTTCTCCTTAGTCTGTCGCACCCTTAGCACAACCACAACCACAATCACAACCACAACCACTGCCACCTCCTCCTCACCACCCTCCTCCTCCCTCGGCCATCCCGTTTTTCTTCACCATGGCCGAGGTCGACGTGGCCAGTTACTACAATCTCCCATCGGCTTATCCTGAAGAATGGCCCGCAGAGTTGGACGAAAGCGATCCAGAGGAGGCCGAGGCGCTGGAACGCCGCGGCTCCCGCTCAGAGCGATCACGCTATTTCGCCTTGGAACGCAACAATAGCACTCGAAAGAGTGTCACCCTAGGCTCATTCAAAGGCAATAATGGGCGCGAGAATCTCAAGGTGGATGAACCGGACCCCTTGGGAATGGGCGACAGCGTGCTCAAGATCCTTAAAGCTCGAGGCTTATCTCTGGACGAAGAGAGCCGTTTACGAAACCAATTCTTGCTCTCTTCAACCTCGTTCTCTCCTTCACTGTTTCTTTCTCAGGTGCATTCCGATGCATCGATACAATCCCTCCTCGATGGCCTCGATTGTCTCTCCCGATCCATCGACCAGAAGTCCGCATCCCTCAAAGTCCTCGTCGAAGCGAACTTTGAGCGCTTCGTCCGAGCAAAGGCCACAATCGATAGCGTCTATACGGAAATGAAGACTCAAGGTCAGATGGAGGAATTGTTAAGCCCTCAAGGTCACCGCAGGTCGGTTGGACATTTCCGAAACCTTTCCGGTAGCAGGCACAGCATCTCCACTGCCGCCATTGCAGAGGTTGGACCCGGAAAGAATGCTCTCACCAAGGAGAGCGAGTACGGCATGAAGGGTATTCGGGTGCCTCTGCTGGAAGCGTCCGTTAAGGCTGAGGAGGTGTGGGGGCCAGCTCTGGGCGGTCGCGAGAGAGAGCAGGTGCTAAAATCAGTAGTGGAAATGATGGAGAAACACCGGGATATCTACGAGATCGGAGGGCAACTCTCTAAGTCGATCAAGCAGCGAGATTATGATTCCGTGTTTGAGCAATTTCGCAAAGCCCGCTCTCTTGCGAAGACCGCCAAGAACATCGCCGAAACCGCGACAGGGAGGGACCGGCCACTGACCGATGAGGAAACGCACGTTATCCTGGCCATGGGAAGGATGTGGATAGATGTGGACCAGCAGATCCAAGCATTCAAGCGTGATCTGTGGAGGCGTTTGAGCGACGCGCCTACAACATCAACGACCATCACAGCAACTGGTCCAGTCGAGGAGCACATGGAGTTGATATGTGCTCTTCTAGAATTAGGGGTTGATGACAATCCTATCTGGGTCTGGCTTCTTAGCCGATATGATTTTCTCAAGACCAAGATCATGGCTTTCTGTGAGCGTTGCAAATCAGAGATAGAGATCTTGAGACGACGGCTTGCTAGCGGTGAGAAACCGACACCTCAAGCAGTGGCCTCATATCTACGCCTAGCACCACGCGATAATTCAAAAGAAAACGAGTCAATGCGAGATACCGATCAGGTGACTGAGTTGTGGGGGTGCATCAATACCTACTTGACCAGGCTTTTGTCTTCTCAGGGGGGCCTTCTCGGTGAGGTTTTCGATTTCTGGGAGGTAGCGCAATCCTTCATCGACGGCAGCAAGCAAAAGCTTTTACCAGCTGGGTTCGAGGGGGAGAGTCGTAAGCACCACCGGCTGTCCTCTAGTGATGTGAGGGATCTGCAGAAAGGCGCCGTTGAGCTTATTAACTTGATTCGCGAGAGTGTGCTGTCCCTATTTGCTGATCCGCCGGTGGACGATGTGTCTCTCCTCACATCTCCGATTTCCGCAGCGAGTCCAAATAGCCCAGGAAGCCTCGGAGTGACCCCCACAGAATCGCGGTTCAAGTTGGACCCAAAGAACATGCCCTTTCCCACTCCCAAACGCGGGGAATATTGGGAAGACTATGCTTTCTGGCCGCCCTTTTCGAACTCTGTCAGCGGTGTGCATTATCTCGGTCAATTTTTGGTAACAATTGGAACAGCAGCTAGTGAAATGGCCGCTTTGGAGCCGGTGTCGAATAGCGGCAATACTCACGATCTCCTCAAGTCGCTTGTCAGTGTCGCGCGTGAGCGCTCCGTGCGTGTGGCCTGCGCAGCCTGGGGCAAGGATGCCGAAATTTGCAAGATGCTTGAAGACTGGACACGAGATCCTGAAAGGAGAGATTTGACGAAGATGCCTGGTTTATTCGTTTCCTTCGAGAATGCCATCATTAGTGGTATGCAAAGAATACTCTATATCTCGGAAGCCATGGTGAAGGCGGGCTCTGTAGATATTGTTACACAGCCCTCTAACAAGCTGTTATTCATGGTGCGCGGCCAGTTTGTGTCGAGCGTCTACAAAGCTCTCAGTGGGCTCGTCGAGAATGCGGAACATCCCGCATCTACAGAAGGGGAAGATGAGTGGGTTCTAGCTGGACCGACGGTCGCCAAAGCCACAACTGATCCAGCAACATCCCTGCTGATAGCAGACGCGGTTGATGTCCGTGATCGTGTGAGTACTTGCTTTTTTCCTTGACATATCTGACTCGTTGGAAACTGACTGTGATATAGAATGTGCGCCTACTCTTGACTTTATCGAACATCAAGGCATTCCAGGCAGACCTCGTTCCCCAGCTGGTTGCATACTTTG